TATGGTAATCTTGCTCCAGGCTGCACACAGGGATTTAAACCTAAGCTGAGTCAATGCTCTCTCACACCACACTATCAGCCTGCGATGACTTTTAACGGTGTCACTGCACAGTGCAGAACGCACACTGCACAGCAGGAAGTATTTAACAGTGATCACCTCCCCTGTGAAAATGCTGGCCACATACTCTCCATAGCTTGATTTACAAACAGCTGGACTAAGATGAGATTGAGCAAATCAACTTCTTAGACCAGGCAATGAAGGGAAGGGACGTGAGGAAGCCAGCAGTACAAAGAAATCATACAATTTGGTGAGAGAAGGTGTGAATGTGGGTAGGGGTTGCTAAAATCTGGAATCATCAAAGGAAATAGTTTGGGCATGACAGAAACTTGGGACAGATGAAAAAGAACTGCTCCTTAAGCAAACGCCTGAACAATTAGAAAGGACAAAGGGAGAAGACATTTGTCAGAGCTGGTGTCAAGTTCCATTTATTTTGCAGCGGTCTTCATCTGCTGAGTCTGGGTACTATGAAAAAATCCAAAACATAACATAATGAAAAAAGCATGGGGGGCTTGACGCCTGTGGCTCAAGTGCCTAAGGCGCCAGCTACATATGCTTGAGCTGGCGGGTTCGAATCCAGCCCAGGCCCGCCAAACAACGATGGCTGCAACCAAAAAATCGCCGGGCGTTGTGGCAGGTGCCTATAGTCCCAGCTACTTCGGAGGCAGAGGCAGGAGAATCACTTGAGCCCAGGAGTTGGAGGTTGCTGTAAGCAGTGATGCCACATCACTCTATCCAGGGTGACAGCTTGAGGCTCCGTCTCAAAAAAAAGTATGGGGGAAAAAACACACTTCAAATTCTAGCTCTGCTACTTATTAGCAATTCATTTAATCTTTGTGCCTCTTTGTTCATCTATAAAATTAGAATATCAATGTTGAAGTGTTTGCTGTGAAAACAAAATAAAGGCTCCATGCCTGTGGCTCAAGTGGCTAAGGCACCAGTCACATACACCTAAAGTAGCAGGTTCAAATCTAGCTCTGGCTGCCAAAACAACAATGATAGCTGCAACCAAAAAATAGCCAGGCGTTGTGGCAGGCGCCTGTGGTCCCAACTACTTGGGAGGCGGAGGCGGGAGACTCGCTTGAGACCAGGAGTTGGAGGTTGCTATGAGCTGGGATGCCACAGCACTCTACCCAGGGGGATAGCTTGAGGCTCTGTTTCAAAAACAAAGAAAACTAAATAAAACTATATATGGCAGACTAGGAACCTAAAATTGGTTAATTGTGAAAAACTTAACCATCATCAAGATGTAAAATAAGTTAATCAGCTATTGTTGGAGGGGAGGAAGGGCTGGGTATTAAGAATCCAAATGTGTACAATCTTTTACCTGGAAAACATAGGGATTATTACCACCCTAAGTTTTCTTAGGAGGGAAAGAGAAAAAAATTCACACACAGAAGAATTATTTGTTCAACTGTGCAGGAAGGTAAACCCCCTAGTTCGCTTTGTTTTAAAAATTTAGAAAGAGATGCAAACATCTTCATTATGGATTATCTATCATGCTTTCTCTCAAAGAATCTTCAAGATCCAAGAATGGTCTGTTCTTTAAGGTTAAACACAAAATAACTGGAGAAATCTGAAAACTGACAGGATGTTAAATTATACTAGAACATAGCACCACGGTTGTGTAAGAAACACATTGTCAGGAGATACATGCTGATGTGTCTTTCCATCAATGATGCAAATGATGTCTGCAATGTCACATGGTTCAGAAAAATTATACGTATACATAAAATGATACATATAAAGTAAATATGGCAAAATGTTAGTTGTTGAACTTAGATGATGGCTATAGGGGTAACGTTTAAAATAATTCATAAGAAACACTGTAGGAAAAAAACAAGACACTGCATTTAGGGACTATCCCAGGTAAAATGTTCCATCTTTATCCTTTTCCACTCATAGTACAGATGGCAGTGCTGAAACAGTTGACATTAGAGAACAGGTTGATATTAGAGAATCAATTAGGTATATTCAGTCACAAGTTAACTAAAAAGACAAGTTCTATATAACCTCTGAAATAATTTTATGTCACTTGTAAGAGTCCAGATGATAAATTTGTAACTAAAATCGCTGCAGGGGGGCATGTGGGGTGTGGGAGGTGGGGTACTGGCCTTTCCAATGACCACATTAGGGAATTCCTCTAAGGCTAATAAGGACCACATTACAAAGATATTGAAAAGGCAATTACATAATAGAAGAAAATAAGTTATGTTGTTCCCTCTTTTCAGAACACAGATTATCTTGAGAACCATTCCTCTTAATCTAATAATTAAAGCTCCTCTATACATGGCTATATTACCATTTATCAATCATATATTGATATTGATTGAATATATTATATCAATCATATATTGATTTTAAGGGGTGTTATAAAAACAAAATAAATTATGTAGAAAATAAGGCAAAGTCCTACACAATTTTTAAAGGACTCTATCAAAGGACTAATAAGGAAACCAAACGATTACAAGTAAAAAGAAGCCCCCCCCAAAAAAAATTTTACAAAACCAGAAAACCAAACTTAATTGAAAAATTAAAATTCCCCAAGGAATCAAATTAAATCATTTCTCAAGGTAACTTACTGGATGTTTTGCAGCATCTAAGCTTCAAATACCCTCTGCTTCTTTTAAGAAACATCTACAAGTCTTTGGTAAAGAATTGCCTGCAGGGCAGGATCTGGAGTTAAAGTTCTCTCCAAAGATCCTAGATGAAATTTGGTGACTTCTAAGAATGGCCTAGGGGAATGATCTAAAACATAGAAAATGTTGACCATCTTGTTTAGAATATTAAAAATAGGAAGCAACCTAAAGTTCTAATAGGGAAAGAATGATGCAAGTACAACATGAACAGCCAAATAATGTAAATGCAATCTCAGTAAGTATGAAGAGTAAGCCACAACAAAGAATGTTAAAGTAAAAAAAAAAAAGAAAAAAAACAAGGGCGGTGCCTGTGGCTCAAAGGAGTAGAGTGCTGGCCCCATATATCAGAGGTGGCGGGTTCAAACCTGGCCCTGGCCAGAAAACAAACCAAAAAACCGCCAAGTAAATATAATTATTAAAAAGTCAAGAATACAAAAAAGGCAACTATTAATATTTTGAGATAATGGAATTCTATTTTTTCCACCCCTTCCCTTGCTTATCAAAAACATTATTTTTTAATTATGATAAAAGAATGGGGAGGGAGTACGAATACCACAGCTGGAAGGCCAAGGTAAATAATCACATACAAGAGACTTCAAGATAAGACCTAAGGTGGGATGTGAGACTAGATTTTCTAAGGAAGGTTATTGTTCTCAACAACTGACAGCTATTTTCACCCAAACAAGAGCCCAGGTAAAACTACTCACTGTAAGTGGCATGTACCACAAGGTATTCATCAAAGAAATACTGCCAGTAATAGCATTCTTAATTGTCAACAGCCTATAGACATCTCACTCTGAAAGGCTCTTTTAGGGCTTAATTGGCATGAAATATACCATTTCTCTGGTACTTTGTTCGGGGGGTGGACTCATCTAGCTATGTTGCCCAGGCTGACTATGAACTACTGAGCTCAAGTGATCCTCCCCCCTCAGCCTTCCAAGTAGCCAGGACTATAGGTGTACATGAAGCCCAGCCTTTTTTTTTTTTTTACTGTGAAATAATTTGTTAAATTACTGACCTTTTGTTTATTTATTTATTTTTCTGAGATAGTCTCATTTTGTCACCCTTGGTAGAGTGCCATAACGTCATAGCTCACAGCAACCTTAAACTCTTGGGCTCAAGTGATTCTCTTGCCTCAGCCTCCCTAGTAGCTGTGACTATAAGCACCCACAATGCCCACCTATTTTTAGAGGCAGGGGTCTTGCTCTTGCTCAGGTTGGTCCCAAACCTGTGAGCTCAAGCAATCCACCTGCCTCAGCCTCCCACAGTGCTAGGATTACAGGCGTGAGCCACCATGCCCACCACCATTACTCATCTTTTAAAACTGCAATCAGAAAATCATAATTATATATTGCTAGAGTAGTCCCAAACCTACATAGGCTATGTTTAAAAAAAATTAATTTTTTAAAGATGCTTGAACAACTCAAAGCATTTTTTCCCCCATAAATATTACAGCAATAAGGGAAACAGACCTGTCCACCAAAGCCTTGTTTCCACAATCTCCACCTGCTCAAATTTCCTGGACTAGAAGACCATGGGCTCTTTAGGATGCTTCTCATGCTTTTCAGTCTTCCTCAGATGTCTCCATTTCCACCGTGGAATTTTTATAAGTTTTTTTTTTTTTAAGTTAAGAAAAGGTTTACTAACATTTTAGTGTTTTATCACCTAAAATCTACCACTACTTATTTTTATAACACAGATAACACTTGACTAAAATTCTACATGAGAAATCATTTTTCAGCAACCAGAAACTTACAAACCAAGGAGAGTATACAAAAATGTCCTACTAGTTTGTGTGTTTAGGGATGTCGAACATAAAAAGCAAGATGAAACTTTCAAAAATGTAATAGCTCAAGCATAAAGATAAACGAATTTAAATTTAACACTTTTTGTATAAAACCCAACGGCAGTCTAATACCAGTGGGACTGAGTATTGGAAAACACATACATGAAACATGATTACAATGTAAACTCTTTGGATTATTTATCTTCTAAGCCCCCACGTTTCATACAGAATTTTAAAACTTTCCCAACTAAGCACAGTTGTACTAATATTTTATATCTAAAAAATCTGTACTTCAGGAATACTTCATGAATTTTCACAGCTGTCAGGAAAGCTTTAGGAAGAAGGGGGGGTTAAAAGATAAGATAAAACTCTAAACAGTAACACAGTATAACCCGCCTAGTCAAGTGGTAAAAATAAGTGTGCGCCAAATACTGGCTTAAACTTTATGCCTCTATATTCCTCTACTTTTCTATTTTAAGACTCTTTCACATAGTAGCATCTCATAGTTTCATCAGTCCTTCCAATTTCAAACAAGTAACATTTACTTCTTTCCCATCATGTCCCACATAACTGAGTCCTAAGATTTCTTAGAGGGTGAACCTCAAATATTGTGTCACATTTATATATGAGGCATTGGTTTTAACTTCCGTTGGAACATGAAAACTTTCACTAGAGTGGGTAAAATGTTCAGAACAATTTTCCAAAGCTCTCCTCGGGTCCACATCAGAATGCAATAGTGCCATAAAATGTGGAACATACATTACTCATATTTGATTCTCTCTACCAGGGGTTCTTCCTTGTAATGGGAAATAATCTGAATCAGGATGCAACAGTTGATAAGAAGGAAGAATAAACCAGCTAACCAAATAAACAGAAAGGTGTTCTTTCCTTGAAACTCTAGAACATATGCAGGAGCTAGCCATAAGGCCTGCCCTATAAACCATAACATTAGGAGAACAATGGCTCTTTTCCAAGGCATCCTGACTAGTGGCATCACAAGGGGCAGAAAACAGAGATACCAAAGAAAGTACTGGGAGGTGCAGACTTTGTTAAAGGTCACAAAAATGGATGTATGAAGAAAACAACAAAAGACAAGGTCTCTGTAATAGGCGAAAGACACAGCTGTGAGCAAGATGAACTGTGGCAGGAATGCGGCAATTCCCAGGGTAAAACTCCACTTGCTCTCTGCAGTCAAATACAACATGTAGAAGTACGGAGAGAAATTGTGACGGATATCCCGCCTAGTCAGGTGGTAAAAGTAAGTATGCTCCAAAAATTCCCAACCATATTTATAGTGAAAACCAAAGCTCAGGGCAAAAAATGTGAGTCCAGCAACTGCTACAAAGACCAACACAGCCCAACTGCACAGCCTCTTCAGGAATTCGTACAAACGAGCCTGGAAAGAATACCGGGATTGACGGAGGCCTTCTTCACTGTCGCGTTCTGGGAGCAGGTGGAGGGCTATGGGAAGGATATAGGTCACCGGATACATCTTCATATGCACCGCAAAACCATAGAACACAGCTGCGCCTGCGACCAGTCTTTTCTTTATTAAGTACAAGACCATAAGGACCAGGGAAGCGACGATCGAGTCAGCATTGCCTCGGCTGGACACTGCCATAGGTAGGGGGTTAAAAAGCCAAAAGGCACAGTAGCCACAAGCCTGGCGGCGCCCCAGCCCTTTCAGAAGCAGCAGGCGATAGAGAAGGAAGGCGGTGAGGAGGTCACAGCTGATGAAGAGAAACTTTCCAAAGAGTTCGTTGAGGTAGATGTTGGGAGTGAGGAGCCAACCTAGCAGGGGAGTGTACCGGTACGTCGCCCGCAGGTAAGGGGAATGCCCCTCCGTGATGAAACGCGCGGCGTCCGTGAAGACCTGGTAGTCTATGTCTGTATACCTCACGCGCAGGGTCCGGTCCTGGAAGACCCCGTAGAAAACCAGGGCAACTCGGGCAAGAAAGGCGACGCCAAACACCCCGGCCGGGGGCACCCGCAGGTTCAAGAACCATTCTCCCCAGTGTTTGGTCGAGCCCATGACCTGACTGCGCCACAGCCGCTCAGCCCCGGCTCCTAATCGCCCTCGCACCTCTAACCAGCGCTTTGGTTCTCGGGCTCAGGTTGGCAGCGCATCTCCCACCCGCCGGAGCTCCAACCGCAGTAACTGCGGGACTCTCACTTCCGGCATTCAAGCCCCGCCCCGCCCTGCTTCCGGTAGCAGGTTCCCAGCCGGGCTCTCTGTTGTCCCAGGGGGAGAATTGCCTTCTCCGGGATTGGCTGCCTCGCTTCCGCCTCTTGGTCCGGAGGAGGCGGGATTTCCGTTCCCTGGGTAGGCGGGAAAGCCGGCTCTGGCTGGTATTTTTGCGGAGCGGAGTGTGCTTTTTTTTGGTGAGTGACCAGCCCCTCGTTCCCCAGTTCCGACCCTCAAAGGCGGACTCCCGACCTGGGGTCCGAGTGTGAAAAATGTACGAGTGAAAGGAAAATAAATCTGAGGTGGTTTCTCATGCTTTACTCCACCAGCTCGCGGGTATTAGCACCCGAGCCCGGAAAGGATGCGTTAACAGGAGCCCAGCATGTGTGGATGCAACACGTGGGGCATACTTACATTTAAAAATCACTAGTTGGTTATGGCCACGGAAAGGAAGCCAAACTCTGTAAAATTTGAGGAGCATGACCCGAAGCCACTACCAAGAAGCCTTGAGCAAGTACTCCTGGTAGTGGAGTTACAGTTTGGTTTTATACATTTCAGGAAGATAGGAATTACAGGTAGTCTAATACGTGGAAAGTGTGCATTGGCTTGGGCCAAAAAGGCGGGGCTTCTCAAGGTGAGGGGCAGTGTCCACATAGGTGGGTTATAGGTGGGTTTAAAGATTCTTCAGTGACAAATGACTAAAAGAGTTAGGCTTTGTCTAAAAGACTAGAAGTCAGAGAGGAGTGCTGAGTTAAGATAACTGTCTGTTAATTAGAGACAAACTGCAGGACATATGGCCAGACCCATGTGGTCTGTTGTGTATATTGGGGACCTGGAGGTAGGTTTTTACATAGCCTTAAGCCTGTTAATGAGTCACAAAGGATGTCTTGATGAGGCTTGTCTGATCTTCTTTCTCATAGCTAACAACTCAGATGTAGGGATCCTCTTGGCCATGAGGGAGATCCAGTCAGTCTGTCGTGGGGGGGAGGGGGTGATTAAGATTTTAAGATTTTATTTTACTTAACAGTTATCTAAGATTCGGATTTAAGGGATAGCTTATATTTCATCCAACAACACTAGGTGGAGGAGATGAGAAGGGGGACAGGGAAGCTTCACTGAATTCCTAAACTTTGTCAGGCCCTGGCTCAGTACCTTTGTGTTTGCCATTTCTTCTGCCAAAGTTGCTCTCCTATGTCACCCTGCAGACACCTACTCTTCATGCCTCAGTTTAAATGTTAACTCCAGAAAGTTTATCCTACCTCTCAGCTGACTTTTTGCAGAGGGATTTAGATGCTGGTCCTCTCCACTGTCAGGTCAGCTGGACAGTGGCAGAAGGGATCTGAGTTCCAGAAAATCACTCACACAGAATACCTTGTCCTGACATGTGAAAGTTGTGTCCAGTGTCTGTCATCCCAGTGCTCCAAAACTTACTGGCCATTCTTTCATTTCAGCATTTGTCATGCTGCTTGTAATAACTGGGATTTTTTGTTTGTTTCTCTCTCCTAGTTTTCCACCAGGGCATTTTGAGTTCCTTGAAAACAGAGATAATGTTCTTTTCTGTATCTCAGCACCTAATATAGTACCAAATTTAGACACAGTAGTAGTCATTCAGTTGAACTGATTTTGTACATTTCTCCTATCAGAATACTTCTAAAATGGCATCCATGGAGTGCTTCCAACCCCCATTTCCTTTCCTTTTCAAATATCCTTTACTGGGTCCAGGTCTGCCTCCCCTTCACCCACCCCACTCCAACCCTACCCCCATGAATTGCTCACTAAGGACTCCAGCCCATTAGCTCTTTCCCTTCTGTGGTCACTTATTGCACCTACAGTCTCCATTACAGAATTTGATACTTTATTTTATATTGTATTCGTAGACCTCTCAATGAGATTGTGGGGTTCTTGAGGGTAGGAGTTATATCTCACCCTTAATATTTTTCAGTTCCTCCTAATTTATTGTATTCTTAGGTACATGGTATGTTTAGTAAATACTGACTGACTGGATTTTACAGATTGAACCTGCTTCCTAAGGGAAGTCTTCTTAGACTAGCATAGACATAGGAGGTGACTTCATCTGGTCTGAACATGCAGCTCTCAGGACTACCCTCCACTCCTCCATCCTACAGTTCACAGTGTTATTCTTTGGATAAACCATATTAATCTTACACATTTCACATTCATTCTGCTATCTGTCCTTTTATATGCTTTGGTTTAATTATATATCCAGGGGAAATAATTATGCCTTGATATAATTAGATCGATAATTCTAACCAATTTTTTTCCTGCAGTACTTTGGCCATTTACACAGTGGCAGCACATCACCATTGAGATGATAATAATTATGATAATGATGATTTATAATAGCTGTATTCATTGAGAACTTATTTGCATTGCACCAGGCATTGTACTAAAAACGTTTTATGTAAGGTTGATGTCCTCACCTTTACACATGAATCAAGACTCATGGAGAGTAATTTTCCTAAGTTACATAGCTAACTAGTGATATTGCTGGAACTTAAAATCCAATCTGTCTGACTCAGAGTGTCTTAATCACTATGTGGCTGACTTCTCAATAAAATGTTGATTATGAATTCTAATTTTCCTGTCTCCTCTCTGTGATCTCTTGTCTGAGTCTTTCTGAAATTCTCTCTTAGTGCGACTCCATCTCTGATTTATTATTTTCCTCTGCAAGTGACAGATAAGTAAGGCTTAGCCCCAGAAAGTAGAAAATATGGGAAGTAGATGTCTGAAAATTAACTGAGGATTCTTCTAGTTGACGGTATGGCAGAAAGGCCTCAGCCAATCTGTCCCAATATGGCTGATATTGTACAGGAGGCACCAAATCGGGGTACATAAGGAAACAACTAAGCCAAAGAAATTAAGCATGTCACCAAAGTCAGTCAAAGGAGCGAGATGTAGATAATCGTTGTGGGAATAAAGAGACTGGAGTCCTATAAAACACATTGGTCAGAGAAGTCCAACATTAGTTACCATTTCTAGTTGGGACAGAGGCATCTCAGTCTACAGACCTCAGGTTGGGCTTTTTCTTAGGGACTCTATTATAATCTTATCTTTCCCTGAAAGAGCTACTTTTTTTTTTCAAGTGCTAAACTGTTCATTTTACCTCTTGGACTATTATAGTCTTTCTTAATTCCCCCTTTCACTGTATGTCATCTAGAGCCAATGGCCAGGGAGAGCACACATATGCATAGCTCATCTCTAGATTTCTTAGGACCTTGAACTTGTTCACTGTGCTGCATGTGCTCTCATTATCCTTTCAGGTCCACTGAAAGGATCAGGTCAGGTCAGGTCCTCTTTTTTACCCTGACTATGCTCCAAGAGGTTATGCTCCATGGGCAGCTTCACTCTATCTCCCTTGTTCTCTGCCTTCTCATCAGAATAATCCCATGGGAGCCACTGACAGATCTTTGGCAATGTCTGAGTTCCTCTACCTAAAGCTCTTTTTGAAGCCATAGCCCTCTCCCTTAGGTGCGCCTGTCACAGTTCCAATAACTGTCCCTTCATGTCTAAAGCTGGTAAAGGCATCTTACTGTGCTTTACTATCTCTTGTTGATTTATTAAACCTGCCCACACCTTTGTAAATAATCCCCTCATTAAAACATGTCCAATTAGCCCTTTGAGTATACCATCTGTTTCCTGCTAGAACCCTGATTAATTCACACACTTTTTTGGTAGACCTTGTTCATATATCCTGTTTTGTTTTCAATCTACTCCTAATTCTTCCTATGCCCAGGATCCTGCACCTTAGTTCAGACCTTCAACAACTCAATTTAATAATATATATTGAACACCTGTACTATACTAGGATCTATGGTAATCACCTTTCCCCCAAGCTTTTAAAAGTCTCTTACCTGGCTTAGTGTCTACTGTTTCAATTCTATTGCCAAATCAATGTTCACAAATAGTATAATACTTTGCTTAGATTCTTTCCTTCCTCAAATATCTTTTGCCTGAAGAAAAAATAGTAACTCTAGGGCGGCGCTGTGGCTCAGAGGAGTAAGGCACTGACTATATATGCTAGAGGTGGCAGGTTCAAACCTAGCCCCAGCCAAAAACTGCAAAAAAAAAAAAAAGATAGCTTTACCTTAACTTTTCATCTTATTTACCTATAAAGCCTTCTGTTCTAGGTTTACTATCTGTTCCCTGAATATTCCTTGTGCTTATTTCTGATGATACTTTGCTTATATTGTACCACCCACAAAGAATCCTACTTCTTTTCACTTAAATGCTGTTTGTCCTTCAGTGCGGAGCTCAAACCTCAGCTCCTCTAGACTCTTCTTAGAACTTAACAGTGGAAATGGTCTCTCCTTCCCAGTGATGTTTATTGTCTGTCCTATTTTTAACAGTTAATTATATCATGTTTTGTGAAATATGTTATCTACATCTTGTATGGTCATTTAGCAGGATATACCAGCTCCACTGCATACTTTAGGCAAGTTCTTTCCTTCCTTTCATTCCTTCCCTCTGGTTACACTTATTGTAGCATCATATATGCCGGGCCCTGTGCGAGGTGCTGAAATGGTAACTAATGTTCGACTTCTGACCAATGTTTTTTTATGTAGTGACAAAACCCCTGATGTGAATCCCATTCACTTTACACATAAAGTCTAGTGAATGAGAGAAACATTGGTCAAATAAATTCACAAGTAATATAAAATTGCAGCTGTGTTAAGTGTTCTATCTTTTAGTAGGGTTTGATATAAGATGGCATAGTAAGAATTAAGCAGATTGGGGATTGGCCAATAGTAGGGAGAGTTCCATAAAAGGAATAACGGATGGGAAAACCCACTCTTGTACTTCCACTGATGGTATGTATCATGTCTTCTATTTCTTTTCTTTTCTTTCTTTTTTTTTTTTTTTTTTTTTGAGACAGAGTCTCACTTTGTTGCCCTTGGTAGAGTGCTGTGGCATCACAGCTCCCAGAAACCTCAAACTCTAGGCTCAAGCCATTCTCTTGCCTCAGCTTCCCAAGGCACCCACCACAACACCCAGCTATTTTTAGAGACAAGGTCTTTCTCTGTCTCAGGCTGGTCTTGAACTCCTGAGTTCAGGTAATCCACCCACCTTGCCTCCTAGAGTGCTGGAATTATAGGCATGAGCCCATGTCTTCTATTTCGTCATTAGCTGAATGGTACCTTCCATGTAATGGGAACTCCAGTAAATATTTGCTGACTTTTCTTGAATATGTTCTAACTAGACCACTTAGATTGATACCATCCCTTGCCTAGTGCCTGTCCCTGTGACATATTTTCCATGGAGTTCTCACATTTTTTAGAACATGCTGTGAATACTATATCTGATACTAGTATATGTTCCTTGTTATATTACCTGTAGTATATTATTTGTTATATGTTATTTGTTATTTTATCTCTCTTTCTTCACAAGTTTGTAGGTTTCTTCAACCTTTCAGGAACTGTACACTTCATGTATTTTTTTTTTTTTTT